CACACACACACACACACACACACACTCACACAAAATTTAATTGGTTTTCATATTTTATAATACTTTTAATAATTTAATTTAATCCTTATCTTGTGGCACTGTTGCATTTCTGCAACATATGATTTATTTTAATTTAGCACTCAATATTTTTTTTTGATTACCTACAAATCACTTATCTGAGAAAAAAAAGATTACTGCAACGAAATACATGCTAATTTTGTCACTAGATGGAAGTACATGTTTTCCAGAAATCAGAACAATTATAAAAATTTCTGATGCCTCAAGAACTGTGTTTTTGCTTTAAAAAGAATTCATTATATTTTATGCTTTCTCTTGTTTATTGACGAAATAAATTACCAGGTAAGAAATTTAAACATTTTATAATGAATAATAAAATCCTCACGTAAAAGAATGTTTTTATAATGAATAATAAAATCCTCACGTAAAAAAAATGTTTTGTAATTTACAACACAACTGCGCAATGTTGTACTTCTGCAACATACAAAAAAATGACTGAAATTCAATTTAAAACTGCTTAATTTTTTCCCCTCATATTTCCTCCTTTTATTATTACTTCAGAACTAGCTGATATAATTTTTTCGTAGAAATTTAAAAAATTGCGAAGTTAAGGGTTAAAGAAACATATTAATAAGGTTTTCTCAAAGGAGGACTCTGCTGCTAACAGATTAATCAATTAAGAATATGTGAACAAATAATTGCAAATACTGTCTTTTTTGTGTAAATTTTAACTTACTGAACTATTCAATTTTGTATCAGCTAAATAGCGATTGATGTTTTTCAAAATAATGAATCTTTTTTTAATTATTCTATGTAAAATAAATTTTTAAAATTTTATATAAATTAGTATTTTAACTATCTCGATTGTTATATCTTAAAACTGAATTATATTCAGATAATATTTTTGCCTTTTTACGTGGAAAAATCTGCAAATATTTAAAAATCTTGGTTTACTTGTATTTTTTTTAATATGTTACATAATATTTATTCATAATTATTTAATGCATATATATTGAACATAAGCATTTAAATGAATATTTTATATTTAATTAATTTTTCTATTTAATCAATGTAATTTCTTCAATCTTTTTCATAATAATAAAAATGAAAAAAATTTGCTTATAATCTTTATTTTTTATTTTTTACCTGATCTTATAGAACTACATAGTTCAAAGTAAAAATAGCTGTTCAAAATATAAACTTTTCTCATTTGAAATTAGCTATGAAAAGAACAAAACTTTACAGACCCATTTCATTTATATATTTATACATAAAATTCATCTATCTTATAATAAAACAACTTGCCTTCATTTAAACTAATTTTTCCATCAGATGAATTTTCTTTTACAAGCATTCGAATTTATTTTTTAATAAGCAGTGGTTAAGGAATAATTCCTAAGTAAGAATTTACTTTAAAATAAAGCACGAAAATAATTTTGATCCATCTATGCTGATAAAATAGTATATTTTTTACTTTTTTATTTATGTTT